CTACACATTCTGCTGCTAGCCATAGGAGTTGTGCAAACAGAGACAGAGCCCTGGTGAATTCACCACACGTCACAACACTGCTCAGCTCTAGCACAACATAATCTCCTAACACTGCTGTCTTGTCAGCTGGCATCTCAGTGTCCTGGCTCCAGCCTGTGCTTGAAATGGGTTTGCTCACAAAGGTGATAGGAGCCATAGGGATGTAGATCCCAGAGTGACTCCATTCAGCACTGTGTGCACTGGCCTCTAGAGTTTGAGCTCTCTTCAGCTTGAGTTACTATGGCACTTCCTCCAGGGCTGGTGGCACAGCTCTCAACCACCACCACCACACAAGCCCCCATGGCAGGGACTCTTCTGGGAGTTAGCACACAGTATACACATTCTTCAGCATTGTCACACAAGCCTCATCCTCAGATCACGTGTCACAGCACCTTAAACCACAGATTACTTGGTTCCTTGAACACCTCCTAATGCTGATGGGATTCTATTCTCTGCCACAATGCTGCCCATTGCTACCCCATACTGAGCCCTCAGCTTCATTTTCCTTCACTGTCACCATCCAGTCTTCCTTCCTGCCATAGGTTTCTGATCATAATTATTCTCTGTAGCATCACACCACACATCATACTTCGTTTCACCAGCTAGAGCTGTGTGGCTATAACCTGCTACCAGAAGAATTCATGCAGCATGAGAGGATGAGCATGCTGCACTGACAGCTGAGAGAGAGACTGCTGCCAGGTGAGGGATACCTTACCTAGAGAGACCTGGCAGACTTCCAGGCCCTTTGTTTCCTCAATACAGAGAGATCTCCTGATAGCAATGGCAATTCTTGTGCAGTCAAGATAAAGCTGGTAATTCAGTCAGCAGTCTCTTCCCCACACCCAACCCCGCTCTCATGAGTAAATAAGACACCAAGTATTTCAGTGCTACCAGCATGAATGTGGTATCAATTCAAAGGCAGAGGCTGCTCAGCCCTCTGTGGGTGTCCAGGGTAAGTGAGAGCAGCTGCTTGCTCCTGCTGCACAGTACTTTCCATTTCATCTCAGCTGCAAGACTCGAGCAGACATCAAAGCCTGCAGTTTTCTGCATCAGTCCCTCCCCCTTGTGAAGGAGAAGTCTCATCCTAATGAACCAGAAGGGGACATGTGGTTATTTTTAATTTTTAAAACCTTGCCTTCTGAGGACTACACGTCACCTCTGCCTGCAGGGACAGGACACTATTAACACTCAGCTGTGTAGAACACACACACAGCTTGAATTTCAACAAAACATAACCATGTACCTGGTAAAATATAGATCAACAGATACAGTTCTGCCTGCCATATTTGCTCTCCCTGTCTTGTGAAAAAAAACAAACTCTGAGGATGCAAAACACTTGTTTCATCTGTAGAAAGTGTAAGGGAAAGTTTCAGCCCTATGGAAAACAAGAATTCCTCTTTGAGTGCATATGAAAATTCATGTTTTGTTGAAACAATCAATCACTGTGTGCTAAGCTTTCTGACTGTTTCTGTTTGAGTTGTTGGCTGAACCTTAGCCATCACTGAGTTACATACC